GATTGAAATTTTCAAAAATTCACAAAGAAAGAAGAGCAAAAAAAATCACACCTAATAATTCCTTTTTAAATTGTATTTATATATTTAAGTATAGTTTTCTAGAATAAATCAGGTTACTGAAGTGTATAATTGTTCAATCTCATATTCATATTCAATAACAGTTCACTGTAATGTTTAAATAATAACTATTGCTGTAACCACCTATAATCTGAAAGAAAATGCAAAATGAAACAGACAATAAAAATGCTTACAATATTTTTATTAGAGGAATATCATTATTGGGATGGGATTTGAACAGCAACAGGAGTTACATGTGTATTCCTGTCCTCTGATTCTAACGCTGGTGGTTTGCAGCAGAGTTCAATGGAAAAATAGGATGAGAAGCCCCTGGCTGATGTGCATACTATGAAATATGACTGTCTAATTTATTTATATTTAAACAGAGTATGTTCATTGAGCAACAATGATAATCTTGGGTTTAAACAGTGAAATAGTAACAAATTTCTCAGTGTTTTCAAATGTCTCATATTACTCTTTGATATTCAAGAACAATAAATCAGTATTCTGAGGAATTTGCTGAAATTTCAAAATTATATAGTTTTTAAGCATGCTCTAACAGCCTTCACATTCTATTATTTAAACAGCTAAAATTCCTGTTTAAGGAGCAAAATGTACGAAGTTTAGAAATACTTCCAAGCAACTACAGCCTACAGTAAATTTCTAGCAATGAAAAACATAATTTAAAATATATACCTGAGAGAAACAGTTTTGGGTAGCAGGGATTGAACCAACTGTTGGTGGAGCCTAGTTCTCTCACTATGCCAAAGTCACAGATTCCCATGAAAATCTTCAATAACCACTGTGTCCTGATAGTGCCCACAGTTATTTATTTGTCTGTCTTCTCTCACTTGCAGGTTTTCCCTTCTAGTTAGGGTTCTCATCATTTGATCAGGGTATTGACTTAGAAGCATGAGAATAGTTTCTCTTGCCTCTCTGCAGATCTGCTAGGATCAGAAAGTTTACACGTTCTGAGAAAAACTCTTATTCACTACTTTTTCCATAATGATATTCACTGATCATTCTTTAATCTTCCTGCTTTCACTTTTATTTTATAATAAATATTAGTAGTAAGATGGTTATTTTATGTAAAACTTGAATAAGATGTGGTACCAAGTTGTTCAGTCCCATATCGCATCAATAGTAATTTTACATGTGATTAGCATATATTACAAATTGAATCAAGCAGATTATCCCCATGACTTGTGGGTTCTTTGTCCAATACGCTAAAGGTATAAGAGATAGTGATCTACTAAAGAGGAGGGTGTTCTATATACTAACCTAGTGTTAGCCTTGAATCAAGCTCTCTCTCTGTCATCTCCTGTCTCTCTAGTCTCTCTGTCTCTCTCTGTCTTTCTCTCTCACACATACATTTGGTTCTACCTTACCCTCTCTAGTAATTCATTGTGATAATTAAGATTTCTCAAGACAAATATGACAGTTTGTGTATATATACATATATATATATGTGTGTGTATATAGTATACATGCATTTCCTCACTTCTGTGGATAATTCTAATACAAGCCCTAACATCATTTTCATCTTCTGTCACCAACCATCTTCCAATTTATTCCCAATGCATCATCTATGGATATTAATCTTAGAGAAATTATATTTTTTCAAAGCTTCAAAAGATCTACATACACGTCTTATAAAATATTTAAAATTACTGAAAATGGTCATGGTGGTTAACACTGAATGGCCAGTTTTAGGGATTCAGAACCTGCCGAATTCTTGAGGACAAGTGACTGTAACTTGGTCACAGAGACACAATCCTCAACCACAGTGGAGGAAATTAATCAACCATCAATACCACTCCTTCCAAGCCTCACAGAACACACAGAACAGGAATGGTAAATGGAAACCTGAAAGAAGGTATGGAGTGATGTCTAGATTTTTTTTCCTCCAAGTTGAAGTTTCTATTTTTACAGGATGGATGGAAGATCATAATACTCAGGAAATAATGTTACAAAGCTTAGGGTGTACAGAAAAGTCACAACTTTTAATAAGTTCCTGAAACAAAGCACACAGGCCTCTCAGAAAGTAACATAAACAGTAACAAGTGCTGTCTGGAGGAAACTGCTGACACTCAACTTTCAAGCTGTTCAGAGAACACCAGGGATGCAGATTTTGTGAGTCATCACTCATTCTGGGGTGGGCTGTCTGAGGTAGGAGAGGAGGTATGGGATACTTCTTACTCTGAATTCAATCAATCCTCTCTCCACTCACAATTTTCTATGTAACAATAATTTTTATATTGTTGGCTATAAAACATGTAGCTTAAATAATTATTATATAAAATAACTTTACGTCTCATCCTTCCCCACATTCCTCAAAGTACTTAATAGGGTATCGTATATCAATGACTACAAAATACTAATAAAATAAATGGCTACTGAGTAAAAGAATCTAAAATAGTCCACTTCACATTCTTGTTTGGGTATTTCGTGCTAACCTCAAACAATAGATAAACGTAGAACTGATATTTATCTGAGATAACATGTTATCAACTACTCTGCATGATTATCAAGTGAACATGCACCACTACTTACATAAAGTGAAAAATGAGAGATCACTTAGATTGATAGTTCTGGTAAATTACTCCTGTTAGTGTGAAATGAGCCTCAGTGCTCACCTGGGAATGAGGTAATGATCCCTTGTGATTTGAATTCACACTTGAATCCAGAGCCTCTTCAGAGACTGATAGTAGAAGACAGCTTAGCTGCTATAAAATCATAACAACCTTGACTCTCTTGCTTTGCCAAGAATTCTCATTTTAAGAGGTAAGATTTTGGATTTGTGGTTAAATAGAGAATATTTTACTCAATAAATATGTATCTGTTTTTTTGTGCTTTTTGGGGGTCTTTTTGAGACAGAAATTCCCTGTAGCCCCAGTTGTCCTGGTTCTCACTATGTAGGCCAGGCTGGCCTTGAACTCAAGGAGATCCCCCTGCCTCTGCCTCCTCAATGCTGGGATTAAAGGCGTGTGCCACCACGCCAGGCATATATCTGTTTTTTAAAAAGTTTATCACTATTTATAAACCATAGTTGAGAAATAAGCTATCATCCAGAAAAAGATTTTATAAAAGAACTGTCTAGAAACAACTTATATTTCCATAGTTAAAATCATCTGAATATTTGGGAGTAAAAGTAAGTATTCAAATGTTCCTTATTCGTTAGTCCACTGACAAAAAAAACTCAATATGGTTTTAAAACGTATAAATTTAGCACTCAGCCAAAATGCTAATAAATAAATCAGCTTGAAATTCATTGACCGCTTACTGTCAGTGAACATCTTGTGGGAAGACCTGCTTTGTGCACTGACTGAATGTTCGAGCATCACAGGCTCCAGACCCTGTGGACAACATGAAGTTATAAAGGCAAATACTTCAGGAGATGAGAGTCAGCCTTCATCTAGTAGGTGAACATCAGCAAACTCCTGAACATTTCAGGTGAATATATATTCACCAGTGTACTCTGTTTAAAATCAGATGATTTCATTTCAACATGCTTCAATTAGAAACACATTTAAATGAAGAAAGGATTTGGTATGCCTAAATAAATAAACACTAAAATACTGTCCTAAATATTATTCACATGTCCACATGATAATTATATTGATATTTAAATAAGCAATGACTTAATTAGAAGTCTTAAATATGTATTGCATTTATGGAAGGTATTTCTGGTTATAATGCTATTTTTTATTATTTCTATACATCCAATTTCTAACAAAATTATTTCCTTTTTAAAAATATTTATTTATTGTTTTTATTTTATGTGTATGAGTGTATTGCCTGCATGTATGTGAGCACACCTGTGTCGTGCAATGCTGTGGAGGTCAGAAGATGGTTTTAGATTCCTCTGAAACTGAAGTTAAGCCACGGGGGTGCTTGGGTTCGAACCCAGGTCCTCTGCAAGAGCAGTCAGTGCTCTTCATTGCTGAACCATCTCCCCAGCCCCAACATTATTTATTTCTTTAAAACTTGGTTAAAACATTACCTTGCTTAACTGATAGACTTTATAATCAATGTCACTACTCAGGAATTTCTTTTACATATTAGTCATCAGAAAGCTGACATCTGTCCAAATTTGCATCTGCTCTCAAGTTCATTGTAAGAGGTCATGTATGGTATAGTTGTTAGGAGGAATTGACTGAGGTCAGTGTGCCGCTGTGCATGTCTAATTCTACCACTTTTTATGTAAACTTAATAACTATGTTCAACTTAAATTTTCTCAAATGTAAATTAGAACTAAAATGAATGTATTTGATGGAAGTAAAAATAACACTATACATAAATTTTGAACCAACTAGTGATTTAGTAAAAATTCACTGAAATTATGAAATATTCAAGACCTCATTACCTAATCCTATTTTTTTATGTTTGACACTTTGCTGTGTTTTTAATTACTTGGCTATTTTCATGAGTCTCTCATTTTAAATCCTTAGCTTTGAAGAAACTAAGATATATTTTACTACATATAAATGTAAAGAAAACACAGACTTCATATGAAACTAATTTCTAGCATTCTTTATTTTAAGTTTTTATTTATTTTATCTTATATGTATGAGTGTATCACCAGCATCTGTGTAAGTGCAACTGTGTCGTGCAATGCCTGAGGAGATCTGAAGAGGGTGTCAGATCCCCTGGAACCGGAATTATGGACAGTTGTTACTGGGAATTGAACCCGAGTCCTCTGCAAAAGCAGTCAGTGCTCTTAACCGCTGAAACATCTATCCAGCCCTAGGTTTAAATTATAAAAGACACTCAGCGCAACGATATATGAACACCGAGCATTCAGAGGAAAACCTCAGTTGTTAATAAATACTTTTCTTCATGGTTTTTTGTTAATGTATATCCTAATGATAATGAGACTACATATTTATAAATGTGTTTCTATCTTCATCACAGCTTTCAGGGGGAAATGACTCCACTGAACCATGGTTCTCCCGGGGGATGGAAACAGCACTGTAGTGACAGAATTCCTTTTACTAGGTTTGACCGATGACCCGGACCTTCAAATCACCCTCTTCATCATCATCCTGTGCATCTACCTGGTAACCTTGTCTGGAAACCTCAGCACCATTCTGCTAATTAGAGTCTCTCCTCAGCTGCACCACCCCATGTACATTTTTCTGAGCCATTTGGCTTCTACTGACATTGGCTACTCATCTACTGTCACCCCAAAAATGCTTGCTAACTTCCTGGTGGAGAGGAATACCATCTCCTACCTTGGGTGTGTCATCCAGCTTGACTCAGCTGCTTTCTTTGGGACAGTTGAGTGCTACCTTCTGGCTGTCATGGCTTATGATCACTTTGTGGCAATCTGTAGCCCACTGCTTTATTCAACCAAAATGTCCACTCATGTCTCTGTTCAGTTACTTATAGGAGCTTACATGGGTGGTTTTATTACTGCTTTCTCCGGCACCTTTGCCTTTTTTTCTTTTGTCTTCTGTGGATCAAACAGAGTCAATCACTTTTTCTGTGATTTTGCACCTTTAGTTGAACTCTCCTGTTCTGATGTCAGTGTCTCCACAGCTGTTACCACATTTTCTGCAGGCACTGCTCTTCTGATCACAGTGTTGGTCATAGGCATCTCCTACACCTACATCCTCATCACCATCCTGAAGATGCGCTCCACTGAGGGCCGCCAGAAGGCCTTTTCCACCTGCACCTCCCTCCTCACTGTAGTCACTCTGTTCTATGGGACCACCACATTCATTTACGTGATGCCCAAGTCCAGCTACTCCACTGATCAGAACAAGGTGGTGTCTGTGTTTTATACGGTGGTGATCCCCATGTTGAACCCCCTTATCTACAGTCTGAGGAATAATGAGATTAAGGAAGCTCTGAAGAGACAACTTGTTAAAAAATTATATTCGTAGAGATGTCTGCTCATTTGTAGAGTTTGATGTAGTACTGATACTCCTTAGGCAATCTTAATTAAAAGTTGATAATCTCTTGTTAAAAAAATAAGTTCTACCAGGTGTGGTGGTGGACGACTGTAGTCCCAGCACTCGGGAGGCATAAGCAGGCAGATCTCTGTAAGTTTGAGGCTAGCCTGGTCTACATAGCCAATTCCAGATATCTGGGCCTGTAGGGAGACACTGTCTCAAAAATATGAAAAATAAATAAATAAATAAAATATATTCTGATAAATATTTAGGTAAGTATGCAGATTTTTAGCAATATTAATTATATATATATTCTCTGCACCAATTTGCAAATTATAAATTCACAGTGAGTTACATTTAACAAATTTTATGTATACTTGAGAATTGATATATGCATTTCAACTGGAAAATTCGTAGTGGTCAGGAAAATACTAAATGATCATGGTGGGAGGATGCTTCATGGCAAGGGAGATCATATGCAGAGATGTAAAGCAGAAAGGGAATTATTGAGTATGAGGGTAAAATATAGTGGAGAATGGGAGTCAGGATAGAGGCGGGTGTGTGAAGAGGGATAACTAATACTAACAGCCTTCAGAAAAAGTCATATGGAAACTTAGCACTATAGAAGATTCTTAAATATACACATATACATTATAAAAAGAGATTAAATGGAATTAGTTTATAGCAGGGTGCATGCCCCTACTAAACACCATAGACGTGTAAAGAAAAAGTCCAGAGCAAGGAATGGACACACTCTTTTGAAATTGTTGAGCAGGGTCAGTCCTATGTGCACTCAAACTACAATATCAAACTGTACTAATACTTTGGTGACCTAAGTGTTACCAGAGAAAACAAACAATTTCTGATTAGATTTGAGGTCCGCTTTGCAAGATGGTGTCCATATCTTACACTGAGATCAGAACTAGCAACTTGTGGCTAGACAAGTCACAAGCCACAGGAAAAGAGCCAACTAATATTATTTTGCTAAATAAACATAGTGCTAAACCAACTCCTAACAACTTATCATCAATTCCATAGACTAATGCATCTTTCCAGTCTTACTAGAGAAGCTTCCTCATGCATCATATGGTGATTTACCCAAGACACACAACTGTGCAGTGTACGGACAGTAAGAACCTGCGTAGTGCTTATCTCTCACAGATATCTATATCATACTTCTGCCTCCCTAGGCTAAGGAATCACTGTGGAAGAGGGGACAGAATGATTCTAAAAACCAGAGGCATTGGATGACCAAATAGTGAAAATAGAAAATAGTGGCCACTGATAGGTGATAGGAGGGGAGAATCCATCTTCTTTAAGAGTGTGACTCTGGGTAGGTTAACCAGGTTCTAGTCGATGAACCATATTGGAAGAC